TTTCTACTTAATTTTTTCTGTCTTGTAGCCAACTTATTCCTTTCAACATGATATGGACAAGAGAGGACTAGACAGAAGTTTGAGACAAATTGAGGACAGAGTTTATCTAATGTTGCTTCTAATGAGTAAATGAAGAATAATCATTTAGCAAAAAGAAGCTCTTAGACAAATTCTTATTTAATCATTCAGTGATTTCCTTAATTTCATATAAGCTATTAGATATTTTAGTTTTTGGACCTTATATGTAATCAAACAAAAGTGATATGACAAATTCTTATTGTAAATTTTACAGAGGAATTATTCCATTGCGGGACTGTGTCATTTTTCAATCATTTAATAGTTATATATAGTTTTTCAAATCTTATAATTGGTTTAATTTCTATTACTTCTGTAACAAGTTTATGCATTCGAGGCTCTACCTCACCTGATTTGCCAACTCCATCTTTGAAAAAATCATGTTTCAATTTCATTTTTATTTTTTTTTTTCCTTCTTTTCACTTAGGTAATTGACACGTCCAAGAAAAATAAAAATGCAAGCAACGGAAGTCAACTGATGTCTTCCACAAAATTTGGCCAAAATAATAAAAATCAAGATACTTGTAACAGCACAGTCAAACTAAGGCACTCAGTATCTCTACCACCACCACGAATGAAGAGTGAGAAATCAACGGCTGGTGGTGACAACAAGTCCCCAAATAGAGGCAAGTCGAAAATCTCTCATCAACTGGACTCAACAGTTGGGGCATTTATCATAATGTTGACGTTGATAGTTATGCTGATTTGGGGTAAGGTTTGTGCGGTTATGTGCACGGCTGCCTGGTTTTACATCATCCCTCGTTTTCGGGCAAATCATGGTATTTTAAACGTAGATGAGTTCGAAAATGATGTGAAGCAAATTGATGTGGATTCTTCGGAGTACAAGAAAAAAGTTGTTCTGGAAGGATTGATTACTCGGGAGGTATTGAAAAATACTATGTAACCAAATTGCCACACATCTTTTTGCATCATTCTGTCGAGTAATTGACTCTCATGTATCCTAATCGATTTTTGTGTGTGAATTATTGTCAATATTTTGAAGTAGTGTAATTCAAGTTTTGGGATGTTTAGTGAGTTTTCAGTTTACTAGACAATGTGAAAACACCGTGAGGCCAAAACCGAATATGAATCGTAACACCTTGAAAACCATTGATTGGAAGTCAGTTTTCCAGCTCCTACAGAGGAGTTGCAGCATCATCACTTTGTCATTACCATCATAAAATAGAAGGCACGACCTCCCAATTACACCGATATAAGACCATTCGAACTATATATGAAGTAAACGAGACACAGAAAAAATAGGAAACTTCACCACAACCCTCAGAAGCAAACGGCACCTCGCAACTTGAGAATTAGAAAGAAAAAAAAAAATAAAAACTTAAGTGCAATGTAACATCCATATACTAATAAATAATATTATTGGATAAAATTACACTTTCCATGTCTAATGCTTATAAGTTATGACAGCTTTAAGCCACCAAGAACTTAACAGCTGATATATATGAACAGCAGGAAGGACAAATCCTACACTAAACCATGACCACTGAACGCTTAAATTAATAAGGTCTCTGGGCGAAATGCGAGCACAAAGCCGGCGTGTAAAACGTTGTAAGCCTATACGGACCTTGCAGAACTACCTTGGCTAGTCCCACAAGCACAGGTTCCGATTCTGAGCTTTATTAAGTTCATAGACCAAAATTGCAGGTCTGCACATACTCATTTTCATAGTCGACATATTTAGTCCAGAGGGGGCGGAATTGGGAGATAGCAATATCGAGCCATGGCTTCATATTCCCATTGAAGTGTATGACAGCAGCATTGTTGATCTCATCCATGCTTATGCTCGGGTTATAACCGAGCCCCAAAACATGCCAAGACTTGTCTAGTGGCTTGGTCGTGGAGTAGTAGGTGATCAGACCTGGCGGCAGGGTCCCCAATTTCCACAGTGTCCGATTCTCGTTCTACGAAAGATTGAGCAAGCAAAATCAGCCTCACAAGAAAGTAAGTGTAAAGGATAACAATTGCAAACTAGCTTGCAGATCAGATACATATATACATACCATCAGATGTCAACTATTGGCAAAGAGAAGTATGGCTCAGAAATGATGTGGTTTTATCTATTGCAGTATAAAATTTTTTTACAAGAATATGCATTTGGAGTTGCACATTGACTCATTTATGTAAGAACAAACTGAGAGGAACAAGAGGAAGCAAATATAATTCAATCATAGTCAATATTATTCCACTAGTATCATGAACATAAATGTCTAGGGTTTTTTAGTCCACTAAGACTTGTTGTATGAAAAGTATGATTATAGAAACTAAAGCTGATAGGCTAAATCTTGTATAACTGGTCCTTGAGCAAACCACCAACTCACACATGTGCACACACACACACACACACTGGAATAGACTACAATTATTTTTGAGTATGCATATTCTCACCAGATTCTGCCAGTAGTGATACTCCTCAGTGCACTTCTCCCTCCTCCAAGCATCCAAATCAAAGAAATTCATACCATAAGCCCATGCACAAGCCTTGGGACTAAACTTGGCTTTGATGAGAGGGTGTGAGAAATTCATATATTGTGCATATCGGTGAAAAGACCCAAAACACGTCTCGACAGCACCATTCACCTTCCCATCCATATCTATCTTCCACAGCCCCGTCAAGTCTCTCTGAACAACAATATCATCATCCAAAAACAGAATCTTGTGCAGCTTAGGATACATTTCCGGCAAATAGAACCTGAGATGGTTCAAAATCGAGAGATACTTTGGGTTCCTGAACTTCATATTTGTTGTATCCTTTGTGGCATTTTCTAGCTTATTCTCAAAGTAAAACTGCTGCAGCTTAGCGGACTCAAGCTGTTTCAGCACCGGAACATATGAGGAATTGAGAAACTTATAATCCTCCACAGCCTTCACCTCAATATGGGCCCCACTGTAGTCCCTTATCTTAAACATTACCTGCATGGCCCCTAGATTCATCTTATCCGTCACAACATGAAACACGTGCTTCCAAGGCTCCTTTGTGTTTTTAACAGCCGAGTTCACCACAACCGAGGCTGCTATCACATTATCAGAAAATATTGCATAATGATAAAGCTTTGGATCCTCAATCTCGGGTTTAGTCGGGTTCCCTTCATCTGAGTACTTTTCGGGATGAGCAATTCTTTCCTCCATCAACCTCAAAGCCAGGCAATGCAGGCTCTTGGGAATTGACTTGGCTGCAATCAAGCTAGAAAAAGCGCCCTGCTTTTTGGCTTTCGTGAGTTGTTCGTTCAGAGCAAAGATGGTGTCCTTCAGCTTGTGAATTTTCAGTTGGTTGTCGAAGGATTCTTTGGCCTCAGCAATCACTTGTCGGGTTAGCTTAATTCGTTCTTTCACCTCCTTCTCGAAACGTCTCAGCACAGACTCATCGATTGAGTTTGCATCTAAATCAAACAATGCACGGTGCGAAGGTCTCGAGATTAGGTCAGTGAAATTCTGAGAGAGTTCTGCAAAAATCCTCACGAGCTTTGAGTTTTCAAGCTTCAGCTTCCGAGCATAGGCAGCGTAAGCCAAAGCTAGATTTCTGTGGTCTTCTGCTTGTTTCCGGATCTGATCCAACCGTGGCTTCAAAGGATCTGATTTCAATGCTAAAATTGATCTACGAAGAGATGATGGCTGGGATTCAGAAGAACCCAAGGAGAATCCCTAAAATTGAACAAAATGAAAAGCAGAAACTTAGCTCATTTGCTAAGTAATAATTTCAGGTTAATTGAATCCAAATCCGCTTAATTAAACCGAAGAAAAATGAGAACGCGATCTATAAGGTTAAGAAAAATTAACGCAAATACAGCATTAATTGTACGAAAATGAAGGAAATAAATAAACTCTTTCTAATCAGCATCGAAAATCGTCCAGCCAATAATCTAGTTCGTAGCTAATAACGTCTCTGCACATTGCAAATTTCTACCAGGGATTCAAGCAGACTAACTAGAGCAGAATCTCGAGGGCAGAAAAGAGAATACTACAACGTCAAAGGAAAAAAAAAAAAATCAACAACATAAGAACTCACAAATTTGGGATCGGCGTGATTGGATGAGGCGGCGAAGAAAAATGAGACACAGAGTAAAAGCGCAACAGCGATCGCCAAAAGGCCGGCGGAGTATCTGAATCTGGACATGATTCCCCGGAATGAAAGTCCTGGTACCCGAACCGACGCCGCATTCTTGTGGGTCCGACCCAAATTCGGAGCCATTGCCGCGGAGAGAGAGAGTGGGTGTGATTCAGTGAGAGTGCTGGTGAGGATTACGAGATTCAGGAGAAAATGCCAAGTCGGTAATTGTTCTCTGTGGCGGAGACTATTTTTTCTATTAAGACTTGCGTGCTTCAGTGTATTGTACGACTAGAAATCAGTATGAAGGGTAATGCTTCGGTCTTCGATGTACAACTGGTTAGGAGACATTTACGCGGTTCGTTGCAGCGTGGGTACAAGCTGGCGCGTACTGTCGGTGATTATCATCTGCTTTATATTATTTAATTGAAAATGACGTAATTAAAAATGATAGGCAAGTCATGTGACTACGTGAGTAAATTGGTGATTTAGGGTGTGAGTAATATAAATATATCCACTTTGATTGTTTTTTATTATGATTAATTTTAAAAAAGAGTTAATTTAATTAATTATTAATGAGATTTTAAATTTGTATTAATATCTATAACTAGTACGACACCCGTGTACTACACGGGTTTTTTGACAAAAAAATTATAAAACATAAAATAATAGAAAAAACACATGTTGTCGTATAAAAGTGCAAAAATAGAAAATACCAAAATCCATATTATTTCATATTTTGAAAATTTTCTTTGTATACTACATTAATAGTTTTATTTTCAATTTTTTCATCCTTATCGCAATACATAATTTTCAAGCATCTCATACTTTTAACTCTAGATAATGCAACATAAAGTTGACAATGACAGAATACAGGATTAGGCAAGTACAATCTGACGTTAGACAAAGTCTATCCTTGACTCTTATTAATAGTCATCAAAACAAACCATAATTGAGAATTGTCTTCGTTGAAACTTGAAAGACAATCTCACATAAGGCTGGTATTTTTTTACCGAAAACCGAAAACCGAACTGAACCGACGACAAAATAAACCGAACCGTACCGACTTATCTGTAACGGTAACCGACTATCGGTTACCGAATTAGTATCGGTTGGGTATCGGTTATGAACCCATAAGGGTTCGGTTAACCGAACCGATAAGGATAAAAAAAAATGAATATAAGTGCTTAGGTTAGTTGTTTAGTTACTAAACAATAGTGGTTAACATTTAAATAAAAAGATTAAGTGACTCCTACTTAATATTTAAACAATAATGTTTAATGTTTAATGTTTAAATAGTTAAATAAAAAAATTAAGCCACCACTGGCGTCTTATCTGCGTCTGTTTCTGCACAATGATTTCAAGAGAATGTATGCTATTTTTATTTTTTAAATATCATTCTATATATATACAGAAAAGTTGAGCTTGTCACCCTTTTGGGTGAAGAAGGGGGTGATGAATGGTGTATATATACAAAAAGAAAAGTGGGAGTTATTGTTTCTACATGTGAAATTGAGCAACCACCATCTCTATTCTCCACTTAATCATCAATTTGTATACATTATTGTGCATTCTCATATATTCATAGTTGTGATGTAGAGAAAGTTTTAAACAAACTGTGCCTTATTGGCTCCTTCTACTGTTGGCTGTTGTTTTTTTTTTTGGTTCGGTTTTTTCGGTGCAAAACCGAAACCGAACCGTGGTACCGAAATTATCGATTCGATATCGGTAAGGGCTTATCGGTTCGGTTACTGAACCGATACCAGCCTTAATCTCACATCAGAAGGAGTCAATAACATCCACGAAATGAGTACTTTGCTCCCAATATTCCTTCCCGATAGAACCTTAGCCTCAACAACGCGATCTCCAAGTCGAGTGATGACTAACCTGGTGTCATTACACAACCGATAAAATAAATAATGATTATTTATTAAAGTTATCAGTTTTTCTTTCTAATTAAAAAGTAAAAACATTACAATAATGATAGATAATAAATTAGTTAATATATAGGAATGTATAAATGCCAAAAAAAATAAAAGAATGATCGAGTGATCATTCACCTGGTGTCATTACACAACCCAGAAGATTGATCCATGTTTCGAAGCAACATTACAGGAATACCAACTTTCAATTTTAAGATGTGATTAGGAACTCCAGAGCATTTTATTGCATTTAAAAAATCAGTTGTGTATACTGAATGCCGTTTTGTCGCCTTGCATCTATAAATAACTTTCTGAACTTTCTTGCTTGACTGGATGGAGTGTCTGACATCGAATATATAAAAAAAATCAAAAGAATATATATTGTCTGCATTTTACATAAATAAAATATTATCCTTTAATCTAATACTTAATTTATAATTATATAAGTTGCATATATTATATATAATACAAAATTTAAAAATAAGTCCCATAAAATATACTCACTCGAAACAATAGTTTCAATACCTGCAGGAGATTACACGTGATTTATAAAGCATGATTTTTTTTCCTCAATCTTTTTTTTCCTCATCTTTATTCTAAAATTATGAAAAAACTACTAATTTAAATTATAAGTAGATTTAAAAGTTAATAATTTTTTATTTATTATTAATTTCTTATATATAAATATATCAAATTAATCATGTCTTGACGAGTTTCGATTTGACACCTATATTGTACATACAAAATAAATAAATAATTATACTTATCTTTATAAAAAATTACCAATTAATATTAATTTGAAAATATAATTATTTAAGTCAATTTAACTATAAATTTGTTAAATCATATAATTAAGAAAATATTATAATATAAGATGGTAAATCATATAAGTGATGTTAGTTATTTTAAATATAAATAGTAATATAGTTATTCAGAAAAACATTTAAAAAGTCAAACAAATTTTTATTATTATTTGTAATTTTAAATATAAATTTTTTTACATACACCCGTGTAATACATAGATATTGTACTTCTTTTATTTTACATACACCCGTCTAATAAGTTTTGCATTTTCTTTATCCATTATTTGAATACCTACAAGATGCAAGAACATGGTGGATTTAAATTCAATAAATATAATAATTTATTATAAATGTTTAAACAGCTTGTCATCGATAAGATTGTATATGATCCCACTTTTAAAGAGAGGTCGTACGGTTTAACCCCCGAAACCACTCTTTTCAATACATATTTAACATAACAGCTCGAGCCCTTTATTAATAATAAAAAAAAAAAAAGATGTTTCTAATGAATTACCTTTTGTTTATAAATATATTAATTGATAAATAATTTTATTTTTATAATTAATATTAAAAAAATTATTATTGTTATAAAGATAAATATAATTTATTTCCATGTAGGCTTCCGAAGCGTGCGAGCTAGCCATTTAGGCTCAAACACGTTTTGAAATTATATTCATAGGATTGAATTTGTATCCGTGATAAATCAAGATTTTTTATACATTATAAATCAAATTTTTTTATACATAATAAACCAAGTTGTTGTAGTTATATTTTTATATGTAGGGTAAATTTATTAAAAAAATAATATAACATTGACATTCTAGACAATCGAGATTATGAATATAGTTATTGTAGTATTTATTAAAAAAATAAAATAATATTAAGCAATATGGATAGTAAAAATATATTATAATCCAAAATATATTATAATATTGGTATAGGAATCTTAATCCGTGTAATTTTTGTCCTATTTACACGGCATATAAGAATCCTATTTATTTTGGAGTTGGAAGGGATCGAATTAAACAAAAATAATTTTTATCCGAACCAAAAGCCGAAGCATGTAATGTTGCCAAGTAATCTTCCAAAGCGTGCGAGCCAGCCATTTAGGCTCAACACGTTTTGAAATTATATTAAGGAGATTTATAATCTATATCTAATATAAAAAGATTGTTCGAAATATCATCCGATACCCTTGGCCGTCGAGGACCAAAATCGCATGAGTTTCGTGACCTCCAATGCCCTTTGGACTGAGGATTGCTAGAGCAACTTACCAGAAATTGGTTGATAAAAGGTTGAAAGGACAACTATGGCATGGCATAATATAGAGGTTTACATTAACGATATGTTGGTTAAAAGTAAGAAGGTGGAGACCCATGTTGCAAACCTAAAAGAAACTATCAACACATTCTTAGAAATTAGATGAAGCTTAATCCTGTAAAGTGCAAAGTTGGTTTGAAGTCAAGTAAATTCCTGGAATACAAGGTCATATAAGAGGAATTGAGGTTGTTGACGTTAGTTTTTGCCAACTCGACTACCAAATCTATAGTGTGTCAATTAAGGGGTGATTAGTATTTCAATACGAAAAAAATGAGGTACTAAAAAGAAAAGAAATGATAAGATTGTCGACGAATTAGTGTGCTTGCACCAGGGTTTTTATTTAATGATCTGGGTCGCTCACAGACCTCTTTTTATACAAAGGCCTGTTGATGGATGTTTCAAACTGGGAAAAAGACATTGAAAGCCAGTATTATTCTATTTCTGGAGATTCTTATGAGTGATATATTATCTAATTTATGAAGCCTCTCCGATTGACTAATTTCTGAAGGGCCTACAGTTTATAATAGGAGTGGCCATTACAATATGTTATTTTTCAGGACACGTGGGGGCCTCTATTTGATGCCCCTTTCAGTGTCGAGGGCCTGCCGTTTATAATAGATGTGGCCATTACAATATGTTATTTTTTTTTGGACACGTGGAGGCCTCTTAGAGACTGGCGGCATGCATGGACTTCTGTCTTTGCAACGTGCCCAACTTGCTCGAGTATCTTATCTCTTTAGGGCGGTGCAAACCGGTTCCGGGCAACAACACTTTTCACACTCGGACTTTAGTCGAGATCGACATGAAGGAAAATTTTGTCTCTGTCTGATATGATAAGTTAATCCTGCTGGTCTGATCCCTTACCATCTGGAGTGAGATCGGCGCAAAGGAGGAGATCGGCTTGGAGATCGATGTCTTTGTTCGAACCTATATGTATTTGGCTCATGGGTCCTTGGAATATCATAGTACAGGCTTGTCATTCACATCATCGTTGTTTAGGCTTACTCCAAATCGTTAGATTATGGGTATAAAAGAATGCCCCAGGTTCATAGGATCAGACAAAGTACTTCGGTTGATCGTAGAAAGCTGTTTCAGTCATTTTTGTTGATATGAGGTACCAAACTTGATTGGAAAATCGGTGCAAGTGTCAGAAGTGGGTTTTCAAACAGTCAACCCATGATTAGTGGAGTAAATGTCCTTCATTTGAGGGTATAGCGGTTGCATTTCTTGGACTTCTTTGAAGGGTAATCATGACAGTTTTCCTTAACGACACGAGTGGGTTTGTGAAAATGTGCATCTCCTCCAATGGTGATCTGCCACGTGTCAAATTTTGAAACGTCACCTCGAAGGGTCGCCCCTTTCTCAAAAAATCTCATATCTGCATTTAATGTGGTTGGCGCGTGGACCCATGAGGATATTCAAGGGTATGCATATAGGATAAACCTTCCCTTTCCTCATTAACAAAGCTTTTTTGACATACAAGTCTTTTTCTTCCTTTTTTGTTTCTCCCTTATTTTTTTTTTAATTTGTACATCACAGAAAGAGAGTTTGTTCTTGTATAAAAATCCGTGTTATTGAATGATGAGAAGAAAACAAATACTCGCTTGATATAGCCATAACATGGCTAACCGAGATAGTATCAAGTATAGGCGAGTCCACTGGATGAACAGTCAACCCATTCTCACTAAGATAACCTGAAAGTTGTTTGTAAGAGTCCCTCGGACAACCAGAAATCCTACAGACGGCCTGAGAAATATCCGGACGACCCATAGAGCTTCCCACTAGATATAAGGTAGCTCAACCGCAACACAATTTAGGCCAAACGACTTGAGGAGAATCGTGACGACTTGATTATCACCACCAACAGACTTAACATAAGTAAGAAAAAATCTTATGGAGATAAAGAGGAATCTGATGGTGAGTAGGAGATGATTAGGATGTGGATAAGAATTAAGCAAATCAAATCAACCACGGGTAGTCAGGCAGGCTGACCGCGGGCAATCGGGCAGGTATCCCCCTATAAAATGGGTTAAGGTACATCTAGAAAGACTCTACATTCTACATACATTATAAAAAACTCTTTGTTTACGCATCATCTATCATCTTCTCCCTCTGTACTAACTTGAGAGTTGGAGTGCTTGTTGGGATCTGTGAGGATCTCGTTATGTACAAATCACGAATTCAATAGCAAACGTAAACCTATGCGCAGCGGATCTAAAGGTTTGATGTAGAGAACTTACGGCTTAAAATTTATGTAGATCTGGTTGACCACGAACGGTTGACTGCAATTGATTGACCGCAACACGCGTCTTGGGTTGCACGAACAAGATCAGATCAAAACTGGATCAAACGGATGCAAACAGATCAAAACGAAATTTTGCTACCAGACACCTTCCGGCGGGGCGTGAGGGAGCGTGCGGCGTCGGATTCCGGCGACGTCGGCGGCGATGGAAAGCTCTCGTCGAGACGGTCGCCTGGGTATACTGTACGTCTCAATCGGACTTTCGGTTAGTTCTGTAGGTCAAAATCTATTTCGTCTCGGTTTACCTACAGATCTTCTATTGTATTACTCAATACACCCTTCTTCAACTTGTACCAGTGGAGCAACAAGAAGAAGATAAAGCTCGAACGAGATCTAGAGAGAGAGAGAGGCGTGGGGCGTGTATATCTCGTGAATATGATTGGGATTCTCTTCTCATGAGCTTAATGGTGTATATATAGAGCTACAGTAGGGACCCTAAGGAGATTAGGAAAAGAGCTCCTTAATTAATTAGACTAACTGTGGGCCAAACCCACTCCTCTAATTAATTAAATAATATTAATGGACCACCAACATTATATTATTGCACTCCCTTTCCCTAGCCCAAATTACATTTGAGACTCCAATAATAATTACTCGATTTACCTCCCACGTTTAAGATATAATGTCCATTTAATTAATTCGATTACTGACAATCAAGAATTAATTAATTTATTATTATTTCACCGAAGCTAGCGCTCGTTCATCACATTCTTATTATGCCGGAATTTAATCCACCTGCAGGGTTTAGCATAACAATCCTTCATGAACTCACTCCGGGGACATCATCAAACTAACGCACATGGTGACCGTAAATATCCTAACAGCACATCCTATATATAATAATACCCAAAACAGTAGGAATATTAATCCAGCGAACTGAACCTCACCCATGTGAATCAAAGTAATATATATTATATATATCTGCCTGTTTAATATCTTACGGGTTAAGAGAACGCAGTAATTAACCGAGGCCTAGTTCATTTACGACGATCAGTATAAAATGAACTTCTCCTCTCTGGGATCCTGTTCAATACATAAATGTACTAGTGCAACTAATCAGTCAAGACAAACTGTACAGTTGACACTACAACCGTTCGGATGGGGTGTTCATGTCCATCTAGGTTGTGAACAACTATTCTTGTTCGCAAGTGACTGATAGAGTGATCTTCGGTTCGCCCGATGACGACCCACCCTATCTAAGTGCAGAACAACAGAACGTAGAACTTGTTTAATCTAACATGATTCTCATTCATAAAGGGTAAATGTGTAATAACATGCAAAGCCAAGCTTTCAGTATATAACACTAACAGTGCTAATGTAGGGAGACCCTCCTGACTCTTTTGTAGGTCATGTCGTAGCAACTCAAGTAGATTAGAACTCAGATCCGATGAGTTCAACCTTGTCTCGAGTCCCTGCCACATCATTTGATACGATTTGTGGGGAGATTTTAAAAGAATTAAGAGCCCTCTACCCAGTTTACGATCACCTGATTCTTCTTATAATATATTTTACAGAAAACAACAAATAATATAACGCGTGTCGTAACAACAAGACAACAATATACAATCTGTCAAGTCTGTTCCATTGACCATACAGATGTTGCTGAAGCAAGGATTCAATTATCAACATACATCCTTTGGTGGCTCTCGAAGTCAAGGAACATTTGAATTTTTCAAAACTCTCTAATGCCAGTAGCCTTAGTTCTCAAACAGGCTCAGACAGATTGGCACCAGTACTGTTCCTCTCTTTTTAGTTAGTAGCTCTTCTCTATTTTTCCTGTTTTGTTTTTTACTGTTGGTAGAGGTTGATTTTCCTTACTAGGCTTTTTAGCAGTGGTGGGAAGTTTCCTCTGTATTTCATGTTACTATTTCTATTCCTCTTGTAGAGGCTCTAGACCATCCTTGGATGTGTCTCTCATTTTTACACATTGTATTGGGACTTGGTCCTCTTTCAGTTATATTATAATTCATCTGTCGTTCTGGAAAGAAAAAAAATATGAAAATATCTTTTTATTAATAATAAAATATTATGAATTAATGTTTTGCTATAGAATGGAAGCGCACGATTGGTCAATTGTCAATATTGTTGCACAAATGTTCGTAGCCAATTATTAGAGTCGGAGTGTAGAGCATGTGCTAGAAAGTAGCAGGGGACAGACCTTTATACATCCCAAAAATGCCTTCGTTGTGCGCAATTTGGAGAGCCATTCCGCGCACAAGCCTCCCGAAGCCACTGCCCACGGGCACGAACCGCCGCTGAAGCACCGCCATCGGGTGTCTCCAAGTCTCCCGATATGTTATTGCGTGCGCTGTTGGTGAAAATAAATGGAACCGCTATTTAAAAACTAAAACTGACTTGTAAGAAAGCATTAACACTTTGGTAAAAATGAAATAAAGAAACCTTTGTAATAAATAAGTAATATATATGTAAAGCGTAATTTCTTTAAGGCAATTCTGTTTCCTTCCATTTCTTTAGGGCACCTAGCTTGTGTGTTCCTCTATTCTTCCCTTGGAATTGATTGTATAGCTCGTTGCTTATCCTATTGTACATTTTCTTGAGTAATAGAATCTGTCGTTTCGATAATAAAAAAAAAAAAGGTAACAAATAAGTAATAAATTATTTAAAAGGATAAGGAGTGTCCTTTTATCTCTAATCTATATATATATGATTGCTGGCAAGCTTTAATAAATTTTATTCTGCCAGCAATTAATAATAATATGAGTTCATTTAATAAAAATAAGTGTTCATTTAATAAAAATATGTCTACCATTTAATAAAAATATGTAACTTTTGGTTACACAATTTATTTTGATAGATGCCATTTTGGATGGTGCCCATTTCTAAAATGTTTTTTTATATCCTGAAATATAAAATATTTTTATTTTTATTTTGATACTATATATTTTATGGTATTATAAAATACATATTTCACAATTAATTAAGAATGACTACAGATATATCTATTTTCTATTGCAGTCATACAATAATAAAAAAATATTTTTTTAGATATTACAAAGATATTTAAAAAATCAAATCCCAGAGTTACGAGTCGAAGGGGTTTAACGATAATGATTTGTTGTGATAAGAATTCTGACGATAGGAAAACTACGAATGTTGTATATAAAGGGGTGTTTAATAATATTTAGATTTACTTTTTAAATTACTTCTTTTCTTATTTATTAAGTTATGATTTTTATTTTAATATATATTTTAATTATTTTCTCTTCTATTATATCGCTTTTCTGGGATAAAACTAGTATATATGTAAGTAGCGTAATTTTTCCCTTTGTTGGGTAAAGAAAATGCTGGGCCCAAATGTCAAACAGCAAGCCCACTAGCCCATTATATTATAGGCCTCTCATCAGCCCATGTGTTTACTGTAAACTTCAGTCATTTCATAATCGCCGGCCTGAACCACCGCCAACGGCCGCCCTCTGTAATAGCGTCCAGATCAAGAGATGGCAGCTGACGATCCAGTGAATTCTGCTTCTCCTTCATCGTCTTCGGCAATATCAACTTCATTGGTCACATGGAAAGAGCGGATTTTTATCCCCACGTTACTCGCAGGTGTGTTGCTAGCTAAATACGACGTCAATTTGTGAACTGTTTTCATGATTTTCTAAAGTCCGAATTGTATACTAAGAATTTGCTCATTTTCTAATTTTCGTTTGTTTTGTCCTGGTGTTATCTAGGAGTTGCTGGTGCCGCCTTTGGATTGGTATCGAAGCATAGAAAAGTGCACGGGATTTCACAAATATCAGCAACTTATGCATCTAATTTTGCCATCGTCACCGGTTGCTATTGCGGTAAATTAATGTTTTCAATTGCCATTTTTAGTGAATTGGCAGCTTATTTTATCCACAATAATTGTGGAATACATACTGATTATAGTTAGAGTTGAACTTGTAGTTTGAACTTCAAATTATGTATGAAAGGACTGTATTTATTGGGAAGTTTTAATATGGTTGTAAAAAATGCCTGGTGCAGCATTAAGAAATTTCAGGTTTAGCTTTTTCTCATATTGTAAATTTTGTTTGTCAAAAATGCTACTGGCATGGTTTTATTATATAGCGGATTTATACTTGTTGGGTAACTGGTCATATCCCTGAAACTGAATTTCCATTATATTGAGATGAAAATTATAAAGGCACGCATTCGGGAACTTAATAATTGAATATGGTAATATTGAATCTATACTATTTGGTTACGAATTGAATGAGATGGCCTGCTATTATGATCATATGTTGTGGTAAAACCGTAAAGGATGATGATTGTTGGTTTATCTATTGATTATTTATGTATGGATGGTGTTCATGGGCATTTCATATCAAGAAATGTGTGGTTGTGAAATTTTGTTACATGATTTTCTGGAGTATACAGAGAATGTGCTTTCACTTTCCTTTGACTATAGATGTTACTTTCTGGCTCTTTCCTATGGCTGGATGTTCCCACCGAATGTGCAGTTGGTAATCACTGCTACATTGGTGTAGCATTCAATTTCCTTCCAGACTCGTAGGAATAACAAGTTTTAGGTTCTATTTTCAATATTAATATACAAGTGTTTCCTGCAATAGCATTTTATTGTAGGCTGACAACATATAGAACCTTGGTTGGATCACATACATAGATCATTTCAGTTCTTTCTTGTCAACCCATGATGGTAATATTTTTTTTTCTTTTTTTCTTTTTCTTTATTTTTATTCTAATTGTATATTTTGGAAGAGAATGTACACTTGGATTCTAAATCTGTGATCAAGATGCATCCCATATTCCAATTTATGCGTTGTGATTTTAATTAAAGGGTAAACTTGTCTCAAATGTTCAAGATGCATTCTCCAAAAATATCTATTTCGTAATGATTCCGAGTATATTACAGCTATGCCTTAACAGAATAACTGAGGATGGACGAAATGGGTCTATGCATGTCACGAGAAAATTACTTGCTTTGTTTGTTTGCACATGAAATGTATGTATTAAGATCTTGGGTTGTCAGGTGCTCGTGAGTTTGTTAGGGTGAGCCGAACCGGAAAGCCAGATGACTTGTTGAACTCAGTCATTGGAGGCTTTGGCAGTGGAGCTATTCTCGGGCGCCTACAAGGTCCAATTACCAGATTTTTGTGTTTCTTGTTTGCCTGGACTTTTATTTGCACTTCCATAAAAGGGCGTTGAAACAGTTCTTTTTTCTTTAGCTGAATGTGAAATTAGACCTCATTTCATTTCTTGTTTTCAGTTGGGGAAAAAGAAATTGTGAACGATTGAGTTTTGGCATTTGGTAGTGCAGTTTGGTATTCCTCGATTCTTCTATAACCTTTGTACCCTTTTTTTATCTGTCAGGTGGTCAAATTGGTGCAGTTCGTTATTCAGTTATGTTTGCTGCTGTTGGGACAGCTGTGGACTACGCAACCCTGAAGGCAAAGCCCGCCCTTAGAAAATTAATCGAGGAAAAAGAGAGCTGGTTCAAATTGCCTGAATGGTCACCTATTCAGGTACTCGATGAAGAAGCAGTTGCTGCAAAACGTGCCCGAGAACAACAAATCTTCAGAAACGTCCACAATCTGAACAAAGAAGAATCTTGATCGTCTGTTTGAGATTGTTCTTTCCTCTTTTTCTTGCCCTCTTTATTCTCTTTTTTGTTTTCCTCTTTTCCGAAATTAGAATAATGGATATAAGGAAGAATATCGAAAGCTCCTTTCTTGGAAGACTACGGAAGTCCTCATGGCCAGGGAAAGCATGCCATGAAGGGAAAGCAAGTTTGTATGTTGTGCAAGTGTCTTGTATGGTGAAAGGTTGTGTGAATATGAGAATGCACAAATATTACTCTTGGTTGTTTACTTTGTATGAGACGGGGAATGCTGAAAATTTTAGGATTGAATATTTTAAGCAAATATGTATTTCAAATGATATATCAGTCCAATATTATATATAAGGGTTTGCCTTATAAGGATTGAATATATAAGAAAATCATCCGATGGCTCCATAGAATTTTTGTTGTTTGGATTTATTGAGTTTTGATTTTCGATTTTATTTATTTATTTATTTATTTATTTATTTTTTGTTAATTGGGGTTAATTTTGAGAAAAGTTGACTAGTTAAGTTTGACTGAGATTTTGAGTTTATTAAAATAATATGTAAAATAAAATGATTAAAGTTCATTTGATGTAAAAATAGAAGAAAAGTAATTAAAAATTATGTACCAAAGTTGAGTTAGATTTGAGTGAGATTTTTTNATCTATATCCAAGCAAAATTATGTCGTCTAAGTCATCCAACGAAGGAACTACAGCACAAAAACAACCAGACGGAACAGGTACTTCAATATTCTAATAGTAACACTACAAGCACCACCTGAATTGATCAGACCATACCAAAGAAATCCGTAAAAGACATAATATGCTTTTAGTAGAACACGAAACATGTCGCAAAATCACGACCACTTCCTAAGTTGAAATCAATAAAATATCATATGCACCATGTTATTAGTCCTATTATAATCCAAATATCATCATATACGCATTACCTTCATGGGATGCCTACAATTTCTCTTAGAGATCAGTGAGACGAGAGAGACAAACTCTTCTATCTATTCACACCTTCTATCTTTTCATGGCCAAACAAATGCTTATTATGACTTTAGTTTAATTAGTGTTGCTTTGTTCCCACTAATATAGAATAAATAAAAGAGAAAATTTTTATTGACATTCTATAAGAAAAAAATATTGGATTGTAAAAGATGCAAATAACATAATTTGTTGCACTTGCACATAATATTAGAGCTGGTAAGGCCCTTTTTCTCTATTAAGACTACAGTCGAGGATAAGATACTGAAGCACATAAGAGACGCAGAGACACCAAAAGACTATGGGACATCAAAGGCCTTTTTCGCTATCAATTCTTGCATAAAAAACACCACATGAAAGTAACTTGTACTGGGGCCCATATAATTTCATTCATGAAATATTATTAATTGTCCTAAACAGTTGGTTCTTTAGCATTACTAGTTGTCCTAATATAATGAGATAATTACCCACCACACAACTTTATTCCATCTTATTTTAATTTAGACGAGCCTTCACTTTTTATTTGCATATGTACGAATTATTTTCACTTTTCTTCATTTCTCTTTTTTTTTTCCTTCACCTCTTTTTTCAGTTCGTTTTCTCTTGCCAGAGAAATAAAATCCCTAATTCAAGTCACCATTTCTCTTTACCATAGCTGCTCTAATCCAAGATCTTCAAGTCTCTCGACTACGAGTTGCTTGCCTTTGATGATCGGGGGATAGCCGCTGCAACTCGTCGTTCCTTATCGGGTTCCCTTCCTCATTTTCTCTATTTTTTTCAGAATTTTTTATTTTATAGATCTCACAGCGACAAAACCTTCGATCGGAAGGATCCATGGAGTCGTGCCCTTGTTCTGATACTTCCACACTAAGCGGAGGCAGATTCACCATTACCGTGAGCTCAGGATCCATTCCCGAATTTAGCGACCCGATCACGCTTCGATGGTCTATCATTGACTCCCCGTCGAAGCTCGATTGACTCGACATCTACTCTCCTTCGAATACAAGATGTGAAATAGAAATAACATCTTCTCGGGTGGCTCTTGCGGCTCTCCAAGTGCTTGATTGGCTCGACATCTACTCTCCTTCGAATAAAAGATGTGAACTAGAAATAACATCTTCTCGGGTGGCTCTTGCGCTCTCCAAGTGCTTGTAAAACTCAAGCATTACACATATGATTAATGATTGATGATGTTTCAGCTGAGGATGTTTCAATTTTTTTGAGAACTTTTTTCGTTTGATTTATTATGTTGTGGGATATGTATATATAGAGTATATTTTTCAATATATGCTTCCGCGGCGGTATATGTTGCGTATATAGTCAATATATGTTTCAGTATATGTTTTCGTTGCCCGTGCTTCGTGTGTTTTCTCATCTGGCCCGTGTTTTATTTGTTTATCATATACTCTACATATACTAAGATAATTTATAATTGTGATCAGTTTATGCTATGTATATGATAACTTATATAATGAACAAAAATTCAAATATCACAATTGTGGTTAGATAAAAATGTTATGTAAATAAAAAAAGCAGGTATATATACTGAATATATACTAACTATAAATATAATATATATCGTCTATTCAAAAAACCTGAGACTTTATTTGGTAACTGAAAATCCCATAATTTTGGGGAGTCGGTTACATTTAATTTGGGGGAGGCGGAATTTTAGGAACGTTAAATCTGACTTATATTTAGTAACTTATATTTTGGTTCAGGCGAATTAAATGTACTTCAATAGATAGAGATGCAAATAAAATATCCCCATTCGCACAAATGCAAAAACTTTTAAATCATGTGGTAAATAATAAATTTTGCCTAATATAATTCCATTAAAATGATCTACTAAATTTGTAATTTTGGATAAAGAGAGTATCAAATTGTTATGGATTTAAAAGTGTAAATTGTTATAGACACCATTATGAGATTTTATATTTGTTGAGAAACCGAATTGAAAATTAGTAATTCTTATTTATTTGGTTACGACCTCAAACGACGAAAAGGTATGAGCATAGATGTGTTTTCTCCCTTTAAAAGCACCATCATTTTCATTTCAAAAACAAAATACATAAAGAACATACTATATACAGTATACACAATCTGATATAAGGTTTCGATTATTTGGAAACACATCCATCTGAAGTTGAATAACAAAGAACAGAAAAATTTTCATTTCATGAAGTGTGGTACGCTTCCGTTCTTTGGTTTGATTGATTCTTAATTATTTAACAAGAATGGATTTTGAGATTAGAATAATTTTCTTTTGAGTACAAATACCAACAAGTAGTATCAAAACCTAATGTTGAATTTTGATAATAGTGTTATTTTCAATTGTGTGCAATTCGCGTGTTAGGATTAGGTTTTCGAACATTAAGGGTTTGCCTTTAATTATGTTGTTAACTGTTTGAAATCAGATCCATAAAGTAATTGGTGTTTTTTTGTGCAAATTCATATTTACATTCAGCAGTAATGCTATACACATTTAATTTTTATATA